GTAAAAACATGTATGTTGCTGATGAGGGTACAGAATTCTGTGTTTTGAATGGGGGTATGTGTGAAAATGGATAGTCACTTATCCAACAATGATTAGGAGCCCCAACTGTGTGAGGATAGCTGCCTTTAACTACAGCCCATGGGAGGCCAAGGCAAGAGGACTGGCACATCAGCCTGGACAACACAGCTAGATTGGCTTATAGTAAAGCAGGACTAGCAAGTGGGTAAATGACACATCATAAGACCTCTGACACCCTATGGACTATAGTTTCGCTTCTTGGGTCCCATTCTAATGACATAAGCAGAGGTACGTACATATACATTTAATGTTATTTATAGAAGTTATACTCCTGAAAGTATGTTGACTTAAATGTCTGTTTAGTGGGATGTTAAATATACAGGAGGGTTGAAGTTTGTACAAACATGTCAAACGTGTAAAATTGTATTTTCAGGTATGCGAGACACAGAAAAGTGTCACATCTGACATGGGGCCAGAGAATTGAACTTGGATCCTCTGCAAGAGCAGGAAGTGTTCACAACCACTGAGCCATTTCTCCAGCCCAGGATACTAGTTTATCATTAAAGCAGCACTCACTCACGTAGTCATCATGCAAAACTTGGTTGTACATGAAACTATAACTTAAACTATATCAATATAAGTAATTAGTTTAATATGATTAGTTAATATGATTAGTTTAATATGATTGTCAACATAGAATAATATAGCTCCTGACACAGGCCACCACTGACAATACTGATTTTTAAAAGCTTTAATACTCTGATAAATGAATGGCAGTTTGTCTCTTTCTTGTAATTTCCAGTTTGTATTCTAATTCAAAAAAATTAAAATAAGGGATTGTTAAGTACAACTAACTGTAGGCATCTTTGAGAATATGTTTCATATCAGAAAGAATCAATGGTCATAAAAGAATTGTTGGAGAAAAGAATAAGGAACGAAGAAATGATATGAAGTTCTAGTATACACGTGTCCCATCTGTCAAAAGCTTCTATCTGCTTCCTGAAGCCTCAGTTCACATGATCTGATGATGAAACCCAACACAAGGTCACAACTTGCATTCTAACAGTCCGGTAAACAATGCTTTCCTCTAGAGAAGACTCCCAAACTCCTCGGCTGTGTCCACTGACATTCCACACTTACGATGTAATTGGTCCCTTAAACTGTTGGCAGTTCAGTGTAAATATTTCCTCAACTGACAACGTGTAGGTCTAATGTTATGATTAATATATAACAAAGTGCTTTTTTTAAACAAGGGGTAAATAGGCAGGACAGGAAAAAAGTCAGAATGGAATATGTTGTTACTGATATGTGCATTTGTAAATCTTTCTCCTCCAGCCGTGGAACGGTGTGTTTCATCAAGACCAAGGCTGTCATTGCCCTCTCTAATCCTAAGTATGAAATAAATAACTGCACTGTTCCATTTTAAGTCTTGAGAGAAGTTCTCACAAACTTGTTTCCATACCTCACAGTGACGACCTGCCACGGCAGGGTGCTCTCAGGTTGTTCAACTTATGGAAGCCATGAAGAGCGTGCCCATTCAGTGGTAATAACTGGGTAAGACAAGCATCATTGAACTGACCTTTCTTAAGGTGACAAGAAAAAAACAAACAAACATGGAAAACTGGTTTAAGATTTTAAAAAAGGTCTTGGGATGCTGTTAATAGCAGTGAGTGGGGCTGGTGCTAAGTGGTTTTTAAAGGAAAGAAAAGGGGAAGATAGTGTCAAATGTCACATGCTTAATTTTTAAAACAAGTATTGCCTCTTCTAACTCTGCATTTCCTTTTTCTCTATTAGAGTCAGAGAAACACACACACCACACTCACATATGCACATACACACAGAAACACTCATACACACATATGACACACATGCACGTTTATATATACACACATGCACACAAACACACAACACACTTGTGCACGCACATGCACATACCTGTACATGCACACATACACACACACAAACACACACTCATAAACATACATACAACACACACATAAACAAACACACAAACACACATGCCTTTTCTTTCACCTCTAAATTCTGCTTCACACAATTAGTACTCTGGTTACTTCATTCTAGTTTTATGAGACCCTAAGTATCTTATTAACATTTCTGAAAGATTACATGTCATTAAGAAAAAACAAAACCAAGTAACTTTTTGTTTGTTTGTTTTTTAGCCCTCTGGAACTTGTTGGGGTTGTTTGGGGGAAAAATACATAAAGTCTGGAATAGTTTGAAATTTTCTAATTTTATATCATATCACCAACTGTCCCAAAACAGCTTTGATTATACTTTTAGTGGTTAGTTGTTTTTTTTTTTAATTTTAAAATATCTCCAGAATAAAAAAGCAACAACATTTTATAAAAATGTGAAGGGTCTAATTATTTCATGTAATTTTTACTTACTAATTATAAAAGTCATGAAGTTATTTCAAAAGTCAACATTGCAAAACTCGGTGATTAGGTAAAAGAAAGAAAATAGTTCCCAGTGACCTTGCTGTGACAGAGGGTCAGTTGTTGGTTCCTCGCCTCCCCAGTAGATGCTGGCTTCCACTCTTATTTCCTGACATCTTTGACATATATCTTGGTGCCTGCTCATAAGAGTATGGCCATGAAGACGATGAGTCAGGCTTCGTCAGTCATCCTCTAAAGGCATAACACAGCCTTTATCATTCCAGATAAATAAGAAAGTAGTCTGACAATACATTTTTTGTGTAGATAAATCACATCATCTATAGAAAGGCATCAGGAAATGTATTTCTAGAAAATAGAAGTGATAAATACATTTTAAACAAGATCCTTCAAATCAAATGAAAAGTAACATAAATAGGGGAGGGGGGCTCTATTCTGGGTTAAAGGATGTAGCAAAGACCCAGAAAGTTGGTCTTCTTTTCCTGGATTCTGGAGTTAACAAACTCATGTTTCTTAGCGTTCATTACCAAGAGGTGTAAACCAACATCTGCTATAACCAGAAGAAACTGCAGCTAGGGTTTAGTCTCAGCTCAGGGGAAGTTCAGAGATAAAGTTTTGGCTTATCAAGTAAAACTCTCAACAGAACAGTCATTTCAGCCCAACGCTATGTTCTGAACTCTCCTCATTAATTACCTTCAAGTCTCGCCAAGCTCATTAACACAGAAACTGGCCTCCCTCTGACCATGTTCCCTGTTCACTGTTCTTCCAAATAAGATGCCTCTCCCAGCAAAGACAGGGGGCTCAGGACCCGCAGGAGCTGCTAACTCCAGAACTTCAGTGCTCACAGTAAATACAGGACTTATCTTTAAACTGCATCCCACAAAGCAGATTTCTAATATCTTCTTAGATGTGCCTTTTTAAGCTGAAAAACTGACATGTATCTATTTTTCTTGTATATCTCCAAAGGCCAGTTAACATTTTATAGAGCGGGAACAATACCCAGCAGGCCTCTGGAAGCCATGACCTCTCGGATGAGTTATCAGATAACTCTGATGAGCCTGCCAAACCCTCCAGAGCTTGTGGCTGCTCAGGCATGGTCTATGTTCCAAGTGGCTGGAAAAACAAACTTTTCCCTCTCCTACACCAGACTTCTTCGACTACCCTATCTCCCTAAGTCCCTCGGGCTCCCTGGGCTCTCACCTCCTAGTATCAGCGGCACAGGGTCTGCAGGAGGAAGGCCTACAGATTAAAGGCCTCTGTTCAACAAATATTTGCATGCCCACTGCAGCGGGAGTGAAAGTTTGCCCCATTGTGCTCTGCCCAGAATAACAGGGAGAAACCTTCAGGAAGCTTGTTCAAGAGGTGATAAAGAATTAGACCTACTATCAAGGAAAGACCAAAGATACAGAACATTGTGGAAAACCAAGGAAATTTCTCAAATTCCCAATTTCACAGGAAAAGTCCAACACAACTCCCATGAAATGAAACCTCCACAAGCTCCCAAAGTCCTCTGCAGGTGTTCTTGCTGTGTTAGTCTCAATTCAGCCATCTAAAATTCTAAAGCCTCCTGACAAAGACTGGTTCCTGGAGTTTCACCTACTCTGGCTGGGCTTACACCACTGAATCTAGTCCACTTTTTCTTTCCTATCTCGCACGCAGAGCAGAGTATTTCTGGATGCCAGAATCCCACCTCTCGCCTCCCCCTCAGGACTCCTCCCATCTTCTAAGGCTCAGTCCCAATCCCCAGATATCTTTTCTTTGCGAGTCTGAGAAAAGCAAAAATCTAAAGAAAGAAAACACGAATCTGTGGGAGAAACAGATTAAACTGTCCCAGACAGGAAAAGCCTAGGAGTTGTGTGGTCCAGCCAGGGCCGGCCACGCAGACTTGGGCAGGGAGACCACAGGAGAGCGTGGATGAGACCCAGCCGGGGTACGGCCGGACTATGCTGGCTGAAGTTCCCCGCTAGATATTTTTCTCAAGAGGAGCCAGAGGCGCTCAGCCTCCTCGGCCAGAGACAAGAGGGTGCGGGTGCAGCGGAGGCCGGGATGCCGGGGGTCCCGGGTCACCGAGGCTGGGGGTGGCGCGAGGAGGCTGTGCTGGTCTGGGCGTTGGGGTGCGGGCGGCTCTGTCCCGTTGAGCCGCTTAGCGGACTCCCAGCCACTCCCCGGCGGGCAGTGGGGCCGGGCGGGGACCGGAGCGGGCGCGGCCACTCCCGATGTCCCACCGCGGATCGCGCGGGCCAGGGCGTCGTGGGAACCAGGGCTGTCAGTCCTGGAATGGAGGGTCCGCCGGGTCTCGGCACGGGACGAGGGGGAGACCCACGCGAGACCCGCGCTCTCGGGAGCCAACACTAGCCCGGCCTCCTCCCCGTGCTGGGCACCTGAACGGCGGCCGCAGCCCTGGGGACCCGGGTCCGGGCTGCCACCCGCGGCGCGGGCGTCCCCTCACGCCAAGGCAGGGACCCAACAATATTCGGGCTAGAGAAGTTGGGGGCGCGCGCGGGAGGCTGAGGCGGGGTCCGCGGGACGCCGTGAGAGCGACCCAAACGGACGGCTGCCAGGACTTACCGAGCGGTTCCCGCATACTGTCCCGCGCCGCAGCCGCTGCCGCTTCGGCCGGCCGGGGACCAGCACGAGCCACCCCGCCTGCTACTACCCGGCGGAGCATGCTCGGAGCACAGCCGCACGCCCCGCCCTCCGCCCCGCACCGTCCCGCCCACCGCCCAGCATCGCTCCGCCCACCGCCCAGCATCGCTCCGCCCAACGCCCAGCTTCGCTCCACCCAACGCCCGACTTGGTTCCCTCCCTAGGAGCAGACTTCTGGAGGGAGAAGGCTACACCTGGACCCAGGCTGGGAAGAGCGCTTCAGAGACAAGGAACAGCGCAGCTGGCACAGGGCTGTTAATCCTTTCCCCTCTTCTGTCACTGTGTTTGGACCGTGTTAACCCTGGGCAAACGTCCATATACACACCGATACACAAGAACACAGATACACTAAATCACATACTGATGCACATAGACATTCATACACAGTGTCTCTCTCTCTCTGTCTCTCTCTGTGTCTCCTTGTCTCTCTCTCTCTCACACACACACACACACACTCACACAGTGGCACAAAAGGCAGAAAACAGTGACTGACACCTAGTCTTTTAGGGATTAGATGCCATGGAGGAACACTGTCCCACCTCTTGGGAGAGGTGAGGAAGATAAGCGTAGGGAAGGATTTGTCACATGCAGGCTGTGGACACAGTAGGTGAGTGGTAGGAAAGTTCAGATCCTGCTGAATATTGCCGGATGCCAGCCTGGCCCCTTGTTTCTCTCTTGCAGCATCAGGGCAGAGAGTGCAAACTGCTGTTCAGACCTGGTGGGTAAGGTTCAAACCTTGGAGAGCAAAGAGAGAACTTCAAATGGTAAAGTTGTTGAGCAGTTGGAGAGAGTTCAGAGACACTGGCTGACTCAGATCGGCCAAGGCAAAGGATCAATTGTTTGGCCACTTATTATAAAGCCATCATGCAAGAATGGGTTGCTTCAGTGGCATATGCCACTGCCAACTCAATGAACTAAGAAACTTGTGTTGGAGGCACCGTATAAGTGTTTTCTTAAAAAGGGACCTAATAACTGCAACAAGAATTAAAAAGTTTCCGTATACATATTTGGTTGCTTACAGGCTTTGGTCCGAGTAATCCAACAATATGCTTCCTGACAGAAAGGCCAGGAATCTGGTAGTTGTTCAGCCTGCAAGACTGAATGTCTCAGAGGTCCCATTGTGATGCTGGACATCCAGATAGGTCCCAGAGAGCTCCAGATTTTTGGTCCACGTTGGAATCCTGAAGAAGGAGGTTCTCAAAGCACTGAAGAAATGGATCAAAAGAACAGGACAGATGAACTGTCCCGTGAGACTAAGGGCAAGCAGGCAAAGAGCAAAGGCATCCTTCTTCCATGTTCTTTTATGTGGCCTGCCACCAGAAGTTGCGTCCAGATTTAGGGTGGGACTTCTGACCTCAAATGACCCAACCAGAAAAATCCCTTTCAGGTGTGCCTAACTGCTTGGGTTTGGGCTAATTCCACATATAGTCAAGTTGACAACCAAGATTAGCTTCTGAGCACACCCACAAGTACCTCTTTTCTAAGCTGATGATCACAAATGTGTATATCCACAGACTCCGTGTAGAGTACATCCTTGTTACACTTGTTTGCATCTGTCTTACCCATAGGCAGCCAAACACCCTGCAAGACTGTTTATTAGCCATTGAACTGAGATCAAGATGTGTCTTCCCGGAGAACAACAAGGTGTGGTTGAGTTTCTGGCTCAACTCCACCAAAGTGGAGCTAAGATGCCATATAGTTGCAGTAGAAAAACAACATTGATGAACTACCAAGACACTGTACCCAAAAGGAAGAAATAAGAATGTTTTAGCAGGAGCTGGAGAGATGGCTCAGTGGTTAAGAGCAGTGACTGCTCTTTCAGAGGTCCTGAATTCCCATTCCCAGCAACCACATGGTGGCTCACAACCATCTGTAATGGTAACTGTTGCCCTCTTCTGGTGTGTCTGAAGAGAATGACAGTGTACTCACATGTAAATATAAAATAAGTAAAGTCTTTACAAAAAGAATGTTTTAGCAGAAAGATTGGCAAGACAGATTTAATTAGGGAACATAGGAACAATGGAAGGACTGAAATCCTTCCATTCCAATGAAGGCAACTTCACAATTTCAAGGATTTTTGTGTTTCCTAGACCCTCCTGTGCCCCTCTGCAAGTCTCCAGCTTCCCCTGTGTTCATGACTAGTATATCCCCTGCTCCACTCCAGTGCATTCTAGCAAGGCCTTACTTAGGCCATGTTTCACACCAGAAGGAGAAGGCAAACTATTAGGAGAGGAGAGAATAATAGCATGGGTGGAGTGGATGGGGAGAGGGTCAAGGTCAGAGGTGGGGAGAGTTTGCAAAAGAAACAGATGAGTGTGAATGGTCCATCGTTGAACAACAGGCATAAGGAGACCAGGGAGAATGACAGGTGGTGGGGACAGTCTCTGGCTAATTTCCACACTGATCACCAGTGTGCAGACATGGTATGAAACAGACAGACATCAGTAAGTCTCTAAAATTTGAACTCCAGCACTCAGGAGACTGAGGCAGGAGGATAACTAGTTCAAGTCAGCCTAACTACATAACAAGACCCTGTCACAAAGATGAATAAACATAAGTAAAATGCAAACATATGCGAAAACATAAAACTAAGTATATCTAAATATGCATGTAGTCTGTTTTCTATACACATGTATATGCACACACTTGTTTGTGATTATGGTTTTATATTAGAGACCATTTCTTCATAAGGACTATCTTGACAATTCAGAAAACACTTGTATATATTTTATTTTGACCCTAAAAGGACTAGCTCGATTTCTCCTAAATTCCCAGGTTCCCAGTCATCACTTTCTAGAATATTCAGCCCCTTTTTTCTCATCTACTTGATGTTGGAGGATAAAAACATAAAGGGAAATAGCCACTGGTTATGTATTGTAAAATATAGAATTTAATGGAAAAGAATTTTCATCACAATAGTGTTATAAATGTAGGCTAGAGAGCACATGCTCACCCAGCCCGGATGCTCAGTGTCCCCACCTTTCTCTGACTCCTGGACAAGAGGTTTTACAGACTCAGGAAGGAACTTAGATTATTGAGTCATGGGGCAGATGTTCAATGACCAGAGAAAGAATACTTAAGAAGGAAATTTAAAAAAAAAAAGACCAAACTCTGTTTCTTTAATTCAATGCCTTTTCAAGGACCTAGAACAACTCTCCTAAACCCTTCCTTCAAAGCTCTTCTCTGATGGCCATAAAGTGTTCTTCGGTTAATTTAGATATTCTTTGTCCCCCCCCCCTTTAGTCTGCAAAACACTACAGATTGTCATATTTATTTGAAGGACTAATGTTCTTGGTAGAAGTCTGATTTCTGCTTGTTGACTTGGGAAAGGCGAGCAATGGTGATTACGAACAGAGAAGAGAGTGTTTTGTGTCAACAGTACCAAAAAACCTGATTAGATATTGATATGTGGTACAGTGATTCCTCTGTACTGCCTCATTACTCTTTACTACAAACTAGATACCAGTTTCCCTGGAGGGTTCTCTAGTTCAGGATCCACTGATTAATAAATTCCTGGCATTTACTGACAAGGGACAAGACCAGAGTTCTTCTTGTATGTGTGAGTTTCTGGAATCTGTACTTCAAATATCCAGGCCATTCCTAAACACAGCAAACTTTGAGAGACAAGGCCCAAGCACAAAAATTAGAAATACCCACTGTGGTGGTTTGAATATATTTGTCCCAGGGAATGGCAATATGAGTAGGTATGGCCCTGTTGGAGTAGGTGTGGCCTTGTTGGAGGAAATATGTCACTGCAGGGGTGGGGTTTGAGACCCTCCTCCTAGCTGCCTGGAAATCAGTCTTCTCCTGTTTGTCTTCAGAACAAGGTAGAGAACTCTGAGCTCCTCCAGTGCCATGTCTGCCTAGAAGCTACCATGCTTCCTGACATGATAATAGACTGAGCCTCACAGCCAGTAAACCAGCCCCAATTAAATGTTGTCTCTTATAAGAGTTGTCTTGGTCATGGTGTCTCTTCGCAGCAATAGAAATCCTAAATAACAAACCTGCCATTTGTGAGCCCATAGGTTCTATCTCCAGACCCAGGGGGCGAAAAACCTGTTAGAAATAACCTGTGTTGAGAATACAGCAGAATAGTTGTCATTTAACACACACTGGGAATTCATAGCCATTGGCATCACCATGTGAGCACACAGAGTCCCACAGCACTGTCATCCATGTCGGCTTAGACCTAACACCAAAACATAATTCACGAACTTGAGTGCTAAGGAAAAGTAAACACTTTTCAATTATACTTAAAGAAATTGAATCTACATGGTTATTGCAGGAGGTTTTAAATTTTTTAATTATTGGCTATCTGGGTGTCAGATTTTTCCCATATAGGGCTACACATTAATAATGGAAAACAGCCTCTCCTCAACTCCCAGACTCTGTCAACACTCACCACAGCAGAGTTGCTGTTGATTAGAGGTGGATGGGACATTCCAAGCACCTCTGGCCTGCACTCTGTCACCCCTTGCCAGATTCTTAAGAAAAACCCTTGAGTGCTGGTCTCTCCTGGGAATGATTGTGTCTGGCTGGTGCCCCTGGGACAGAGAGATGTTAGCATAGCTTTTAGAGATCAGAAGTATGATCGGCGTTAGAGGGCCACCTCAGGCTCCTCAATCTCTTCTCACACCAGCCAATCAACAATCAATCAAAATTAGTTCAGCACTTTTTAACCCCATGTGACTTTATTTTTTAAATAAGAAGTATGTGGGAGTCTGCAAGATGACTCAGTAGGTGAGGGCTCTGGCTGTCAATCCTGATGACCTGGGTTTGATCCCAGAACTCACATAGTGGAAGAAATGAACTGGCTCCAATAAGTTGTTCTCTGACCTCACTGTGGAATGCATGCACAAGTGCACGAACACACACACACACACGCGTGTGTGTGCACACAAACAGGTAAATAAATGCAAATAAAAATTAAAGTGGGAATCATGTGACCAGCTGAAGGGGGCTGGCAGGGCAGTGGTGAAGTGCCTACATAG